AAACTTCAGCCTTCCTGCTCCTATGACGCTGCTTGGCCTGCTGTGTTCATCCAGCTCTACACCTTGTTATCTCGGATTCTCCAGCATCTGCAGTTCCTACTATCTCTGATTCAATTCAAACTGTATATTTAAACTGATATGGGAAATTGGGCACTGGAGAAGAGCAGTTTCGGGGTGATAAATGTTACTTATTTCCTGTCCCTTTATCCTATCATTTATCTTGTACTGTCTTCCCCTCTTGCCATCTTGAAAACCATGCTTTGATAAATCCTGTGCCAATCTTATGCATCTGTAGCTTGATGTTTATTGGCAGAATGTCAACTCTGGGAAACTGGATAGATTTAGGAGCCAACCTTTTGGAGTTGACGCAATTTTATCTGTTTCTGCATTCCTCCTTTTCCTTCTACATTCCTCCTTTTCCTTTTACATTGTGGATTCTTAGGGGCACTGCATCCAGTGGTAGCAAGCAGCATTAAGAAGGGGTTGATTGTATAGCTCTGAGGCACTTTGCCACTTGATCATTGGAGGAGTTGGTGGTATCACTTTAGTAGAAGCTGTGTAGCAGCTGGATTTGCTGTTTTTCATGTCGTTTTATTCCTGGTTGGAGGCATTAGTTCAAACATGCTATTTTACCATGGGACATGTATGTAACTGTCCAACATTGCAAATGTTGTTAATTGCTCACAGGGTACCCTTCCCAGAGTGGCTACAACACACCATCGTCTGTGGGATATGGATCAAGTCAGTCGTCCTATTCAAGCCCAGGTGGGGGCTATGGCAGAGGAGACCACAGCATGAACACCTACCAGTACAGATAAACAGGATCAGAAGACCCTACATCCACTTCGTTTTTTTCCCTAACTGCTGTATCTATTTTTCTTAAATACTGCAGACAAATTTTAAAAAAAATCTTGTGTGACCACTTTCCACTAGCACTGCATACTCTTTAAGGTGGAGTTCAATGCCATTTCTTTAGTAAATAGCGCTGTGGTGTATGATGCTTCAATGTGACATTCAGGTTCCAGATTTGGAATCCTAACACCACTCACTAAGGGGCATGTGTTGCCTTCTAGCCAGAATAATCTGGTAGCTTTTGATATGGCAGAGAGCCCAGTTGGATAATTCTGCAGTAATAATTGTATAAATTGTTAAATTATTGTGTTGTGCCTCCAAGGGAGTGGGCAGAGCCTTTGAAAGTCAGTAGTGTTCTCATAAACTGACCAAATATGAGTCCTGACTGGGTAAGGTGGTAACTGTACTGAGAAAATAACGTCAGAGC